AAAAAAATATATATATATATATATATATATATATATTAGCTACTCAGATTTTTTAGAGTTGTATTTCAATTTCTCAATTGCCTTTTTAGCCTTCCTTCCTCCCGCTGAGTTTGCCTTGTTTCTCTAGTTTACTGTGTTGCTGTTTTTTTCTCTCACATTCTTATCTGGTCTGTTTTGAAAATGGTATCAATGAGAAAAAGAACTCCAAAATATGGAAAAGGGCTGAGTAAAAACTAAAGAAGGCAAATCTAATGAGAGGAAGAAAGGCTTACTAGTAGAGGAAGGAGGCAAGACACACCAGGAAAGCCCCTCACTTGAATGAGGAGAAAGGAAAGCAGAGCCAGTTAATCTGAATATGAGTAGGAAAGGTCAGGAGAGAAGCTTCCTCCCTCCCAATCTAAGCTGCTGAAGGTTCTGCATCCATCTCTCCGCTGTTCCCCACTCACCTGGACAGATGGCTGGTGGACATTTTGTCTCCTCTCTCCAGGTGTCTTTCCCTTGTTCTAGCTGGGTGATGAGTCTGGGTTTAGAAAATGGAATTCCTGCTCACAGGAAAAGAAAATAAGGTGACTGTAAGTTACAGGTTCAAGGGTCTGTTTCAGAACTCAGAGCCAAACTGGGTGTGGAACTTCAAAAAGGTGGAATAAAAGAACAGACAACAGTGAGCACTCTGCAATGGAAGGGATTAGTAGGAGGGATGAACTAGTATAAGAGAGAGCCTACTCATTTTTAACTCCAGGCTGGATGGATGAACACTTTCCTAGTTTAAAGAGGATATTTTATTTTATTTATTTTTAATGTTTTATTGTGAGTTATATGATAGTTTACATCAGAGAACCTCAGTTCCATATTCATTCCATCGTATATCATTACATTGCCATGGTTCCAATCCCCTCCATGCATAGTCTTCTGACCAAAGGGCATATCCTAAAAGCCCGTGCTCTACACTCCCCCCTCAGTTTTCCGCCCACAGTTCCTAAAGAGGATATTTTAGGAAGAGAGTCGCAGCCTGGGAGAAAGGTCTAGAAATGCAGCATCTCTCTCTCTCTCTCTCTCTCTCTCTCACACACACACACACACACACATTCTACCCATTCTTAACTCTAAAGAATCCAACCATTCCCTCGGGAAACAGGTAACTGAATGTGTGTTTGGGGTCTCATTTCAAAGGCAAAGTCATAAAAGCAAACAGCAGCAAGAATTGAGTCCTACGAGAGACGCCATACTTACCCAGAGAGACCAGGTTGCCGTAGTTCTCCAGCATCACCTCCCTGTACAGGGCTCTTTGAGCAGAACTCAACAGCCGCCACTCCTCCTGAGTGAAATCCACAGCCACATCCCTGAATGCCATGTGTGCCTGTAACACAAAACACAGCCCTGCTCACCCATGGGTCAGGGAAAGGGGCAAGAAGGCTGCCTCGGGGAAGATATTTAAATTCTACTTCTAACTGTGACCCTGGTGCCATGTGATGCAAGAACTTCACATTTCTATCTCTATCCAGTCAGCAGTACTTGTGGAGCTATATGTTCAAGGTCCTGAATGGGCTATCTTTATATTGTTGATGTGCACTACCGTCGTGTTGGTTCCAATTCATAATAACCCTGTATAGGGTTTCAAAGGAGGGGTTGGTGAGCTTGAACCACCGACCTTGTGGTTCAAACCGACATTGCAGTCCAGTGCATTAACCCAGGACTCCATTATATATATATATATTCCTTAACTTTGGGGGAACTTTAAATCTAGGCTGAGAGAAGAGTAAACAGCATATAAAAATTAAACAAGAGTAAATAAATAAATAAAAATCCAGACTCTAGAGTACACAGGTCAACAAATTATGGCCAACAGGTAAACTCTGGCCCATCACCTCTTTTTGTAAATAAAATTTTATTGGAATATAGTCAAAGCAATTCATTTATGCACTGTCTCCTGTTTTTGCACTGTAATGACATGACAAAATTCAGTGGATACAACACCTAACATATTATCATCTGGCCCTTAACAGAAAAAGTTTACTGACCTCTGCTTTGGAATGTGGTGCTGGATAAAAATCCTAGTGTTAAGAATGCTTTCGTGAAGTGTACCAGAGGAGACAAGGTAAAGAGGCAAAACTTACATAATTCAGGTGATCCAATAATGAGACCTTTGTCGGTCTAGCCCTCAACCTGACGTAAAAGTCAGCAGCCCACAAATTGATTTTGTGCATTAAAACTTTTTCTTTTTTAAATTGTTCAAACATTGGTGGACATCTCATAAAAAAAACCCTGACTTCTGGTTCTTTTTGAAAAATCCAGAATGTATCAAGGTCACCAATGTTTAGCGGTGAGCCTGGATGTTGACCTCGTAGCCACGCTGTGCATTCTGCAGTTACCAGAGGGCCTTTCCTGGTCAGCATCAGTCTCTCAAATTAATAAAGGGATTTGCTCTGGTAATCGCCCCCAAGGTGAGTAGAAACCCGGTTTCTTACACTAACTCTTTGTTGTGCCTTCCCCAGGTTTGGTCCCTCTTGGCAGACTTTAGTCGAATTACTAGCTCTCCTTTCATACCCTAGGAAGTCTTGGGAACGGCTTTAGGAATCCCCTGCCAAGAGTACCACCAGTCACAAGGCACAGCCAATCCCAAGTTGTTAAGTTTTTAAGTGCCTTTGAGTCAGTTTTGACCCACTGTTGTTGTTGCTGTTAGGTGCCATCAAGTCAGTACCAACTCATAGCAACACTATGCACAACAGAACGAAGCACTGCCTGGTCCTGGGCCAGCCTCACAACTGTTGCGATGCTTAAGCCCATTGATGCTGTGACTTGGCCAATTCATCTTGTTGGGGGTCTTTTTCTTTTTCTCTGACCTTCCACCTTACCAAACATGATATCCTTCTCCCGAGGCTGGTCCCTCCTGACAATATATCTGAAGTATGAGAGACAAAGTTTGGCCACCTTGGCCTCCAAGGAGCACTCTGGCTGTACTTCTTCCAACACAGATCTGTTGGCTCTTTTGGCAGCCCATGGCACTTTCAATATTCTCCTCCAATACCATAACTCAACTGCATCAGTTCTTCTACGGTCTTCCTTATTCGCTGTCCTGCTTTTGCATGCATATGAGGTTATTGAAAATACCATGGCTTGGATCAGGCGCACCTTAGTCCTCAAGCTGACATCTTTGCTCTTCAACATTTTAGAAAGGTCTTGTGCAGCAGATTTACCCAATGCAATACGTAGTTTGATTTCTTGACTGCTGCTTCCATGAGTGTTGATAGTTGATCCAAGAAGAATTAAGTCCTTCACAACTTCAATCTTTTCTCCATTGATAAAAATGTTGTTGATGGATATTGAGGATTTTTGTTTTCTTGACATTGAGATGCACTCCATACCAAAGGCAGTGAGTGCTCTTTGATCTTCATCAGTAAATATTTTAAGTACTCTTCACTTTCAGCAAGCAAGGTTGTATCATCTGCATATCACAGGTTGTTAAAGAGTCTTCCTCCAATCCTGATGCCACATTTTTCTTCATATAACCCAGCTTCTCAGATTATTTTCTCAGCATACAGATAGAATAAGTATGGTGAAAAGAATACAACCCTGTCGCACACCTTTTTAAATTTTAAACCATTCAGTGTTTCCATGTTCTGTTTGAACAACTGCCTCTTGGTCCATGTACAGATTCTTCATGAGCACAATCAAGTGTTTCGGAATTACTTCGCAATGTTGTCCATAGCTTGTCATGATCCACACAACAGAAAGCCTTTGCGTAGTCAATAAAGCACAGGTAAACATCTTTCTGGTATTCTCTGCTTTCAGCCAAGATCCATTAGACATCAGCAATGATATCCCTTGTTCCACAGCCTCTTCTGAATCTGACTTGAACCTTTGGAAGTCTGTCAATGTATGCTTGCAGCCATTTCTGTACTATCTTTAGCAAAACTTTACTTGCAGGGGATATCAAAGATATTGTCCGATGATTTTCGCATTCCGTTTGGTCACATCTTTTTAGAGTGAGCACAAATATGGATCTCTTCCAATCAATTGGCCAGATTTCTTGGCACAGGTGAGTGAGTGCCTCCAGTGCTGCCTCATTTTCTTGAAAGATTTCAATTTGTATTCCATCAATTGGTGCCTTGTTCTTTGCCCATGCCTTCAATGCACCTTGTACTTCTTCCTTCAATATTATTGGCTCTTGATCACATGCTACCTCTTGAAACAGTTGAACATCAACCATTTCCTTTTGGTACAGGGACTCTGTGTATTCGTTTAATCTTCTTTTGATACTTTCTGCATCATTCAATAATTTTCTGAGAAAAATCCTTTAATAATGAAAGTCGAGGCTTGAATTTTTTCTTTAGTTCCCCCAGCTTGAGAAATGCTGAGCATGTTTTCCCTTTTTGTTTTCTGACTCCAGATCTTTGCATATTTCGTTGTACTATTTGACTTTATCTTCTTGAGCTGATCTTTGAAATTTTCTGTTCAGCTCTTGTACCTCCTCATTTCTTCCATTTGCTTTAGCATCTCTATGCTGGAGAGCAAGTTTCAGTGTCTCTTCTGACATCCATTTTGATCTTTTCCTTCTTTCGTGTCTTCTTAATGACTTTGTGATTTCTTCCTCTATGATGTTCTTGATGTCATCCCACAACTCTTCTAGAAGTCTTTAGTCTTTAGTGCTTAATGTATCAAAACTGTTTTTCAGATGATGTCTAAATTCAAGTGGGATAGACTCAAGGTCATTATTTTGGCTCTCGTGGACTTGTTTTCATTTTCTTCAGCTTCAGTCTGAATTTGCGTATGAGCAATTGATGGTCTGCTCCACAGTCTGCCCCTGGCCTTGTTTTAGCTGATGATATGGAGCTCTTCCATCATCTCTTTCCACAGATGTAGTCAATTTGATTTCTGTGTATTCTATCTGGTGAGGTCCATGTGTATAATTGTCTCTTATGCTGTCTAAAGGCAGTATCTGAAATGAACAAATCATTGATTTTGCAGAATTCTATCATAGGATCTTCAGCATCATTTCTATCCCCAAAGCCATATTTTCCAACTATTGTTTCCAATCACTAGTAAGGATCAATACATCTTGACTGCATATTTGATCGATTTCAGATTGAAGAAGTTGGTAGAATTCTTCTATTTCATCCTCACTGATTTTTAGTGGTTGGTGCATAAATTTGAATTATAATGGTGTTAACTGGTCTTTCCTGTAGGTGCATAGATATTATCCTATCACAGACAGTGTTGTTCCTCATGACTGATCTTGGTATGTTCTTTTAGCGATAAATACAACACCATTCTGCTTCAATTTGTCATTCCTGGCATAATAAACCATGTGGTTGTCAGAGTCAAAATGGCCAATACCAGTACATTTCAGGAGCTCTGGTAGCGTAGCGGTTACGAATCGGGCTGCAAACCACAAGGTCAACAGTTCGAAACTACCAGCTGTTCCGCGGGAGAAAGATGAGGCTTTCTGCTCCCGTAAAGATTTACAGCCTTGGAAACCCTGTACAGGGTCGCTATGAGTCGGAACTGACTCCACGGCACACAACAACAACAAATGCCTAACAAGATATCAATGTTTATGTGTTGCATTTCATTTTTGACAATTTCCAATTTTTCTAGGTTCATACTTCATACATTCCAGTTCCAATTATTAATGGATGTTGACAGCTGTTTCTCTTCATTTTGAGTTGTGGCCCATCAGCAAATGAAGGTCCCAAGGGCTTTACTCCATTCGCATCATCACGGTCAACTCTACTTTGAGGAGGCAGCTCTTCCCCAGTCGCATTTTGAGTGCCTTCCAACCTGAGTGGCTCATTTTCCAGCACTATATCTGACAGTGTTTCTATGCTATTCATAAGTTTTTCAGTAACTAAATATATGGAAGTAGTTTGTCTCTCCTTCTTCCCAGTCTGTCTTCATCTGAAGCTCATCTGGAACCTGTCCACCTTGGGTAACCCTGATGGTATTTAAAATACCCATGGCATAGCTTCAAGAATCACAGCAACTCACAAGTCACCACAGTACGACAAACTGAGAGACCCATTGCAACCCTGTATATAGTTTCCAAGAAGTGGCTAGTGGGTTTGAACCACACACCTGGTGGTTCAAACTAACTTTGTGATCATAAGTGGAAAAGCAAACAGGAATGACAGTAGTTCTCACTACTGTTCTTATAGCACATAAGAGTCATCTGAGCATTTTTTGTTTGTAATCACAGATAATGTAGGTCCCTACTTCAAATCAATGATACCAGAATCTTTGAGGTGGGGCCCCGAGCACAGCCAGTGTTTCCAATCACTGGGTCACAGGGATTTTATGAGAATTGAGAGATCAGGGAAGTTTTCATAGGAGAGGCCTGGAACCTTCATCTTGAAG